GGCCCGCCCCCCACCTCTTCCCAGCCCCACCTCCAGCCCCGCCGGCTTCCCAAGAGACCCCCAGACCACGCCCCGACTGGCTTGGGATCCCGGATTTCTAAACAGAGACCTGGGATCAGGTCCCAACACCCAGGGGGACCTCGGACCATCCCTTACCTCCTTTGAGGACCCAGAACATGTTCTACAGCCACCCGGGACCACAAACCACGTCCTACTCTCCTTGGTGACCTCGACTCTCCTCACACCCCATCGAAGACCCCAGGCCATATGTTCCAGAATCCCAGGGATCCAAACCACCCCTATTAGGGACACCAAATCATACCCCAACATTCAGGTGGATCCACGCCCCATCCCTCAGAGACCCCAGGCCATATGTCAAAATCCAGGGAAACCCCTGATCATGCCTTACTCTCGTTGGGGACCCAGCCCATGTTCTACAGCCACCCACGACCACAAACCATATCCCATTCCTTGGAGACCCCCAGCCATGTCCTCCACTCTAGGACCTCAAACCATTCCCTAACCCCCAATAGGGATTCCCAACTATGTCTAAGTTCTAGAGGGCTCAAATATGTCTCTTGTCCCCATGGGAGACCCTAAGCTTCCCCATTTCCCCCATTAGACCCAGACCATCCTCCCCTGCAAGGCACTCCTTGGTTTCCAGAACCCCTGTTTGCCTCAGATTCTTTCCCATCCTCTCCACCAGTCCTATCCTCATGAGGACCCTGCCTCCTCCCTACTCCTATTCTCTCTCTTGGATCCAACAGAGCCTTCCCCTTCTCTGTGACTTCAGTGTAGTCCAGGATTTCTTGCTCCTTCCTTGTTCAGACCCCTTCGTCTAACTCCTACCCAATGACCATCGGCCCCTCTCCGAAACCCCACTGAGTATCTCAGGCCACTCTTCACCTCTTTCTGAGATATTCACTGTGCCCCCAAACCCAGCAAGGCCTCACCTCAAAGTCTGTCTTATTGCCGCCCCCCAGATCCCTGGAGGCCCGAGGACTTTTCATTTTGGATCCCACTGTATCAAGGTCCTACCCCAAACCCCCTTCCCTAAATTCTTCCTTTCCAGGTCATCACAGGAAGCCTGCCCTGCTCCTCAGATCAAGGGCACCTCTGCAGAGCCTATCTCTGGTGGACCTTGAGCCCAGTCACAGCCAATCCCCACACACACCAAGCTCCAGATCCCACCTCCCACCCTGGTTCCTGGTGCTACCTGCCAGGGCATGGAGGTGCAGGGCTGGGAAAACAGGAGTGGGAGACTTATCACAACAGCAAAAGTGGACACATGGCCAGTACTGCTCACGCCAGGAATGGTTCTAATGCTCCATTCACTCTCACAGCAGCCAGATGAGGAGGTTTCATCACTACCTCCATTTTACAGAAGAGGAAAATTGAGCCTTAGAGAGGTTTAGTCATTTGCCTAAGATCTCTCACACACAGTAAGTGGCAGAACAGGGTGGAGGTGAAGGGGAAAGAGGGTGAGAGCAGACCTGGGATGGAAAAGGAAAGGGTGAGAAAAAAGATAATAAGAGAGACAGATACACAGAGATGAGAAACAAAGGCAGGGCAACCTCACTCACAGGCATAATTGGCCCTGTGAGCGCTTATCCTCATATCCGACCATTCTTGTCTTTGGCCGCAGTGATGACTTTTCGGTCTTTGGAGGTATTCCCCTTCCATGGCTGATTCTGTCTTTTCATACAAGTCTCAATTCAAATGTAATCTCTTCAGAGAGGCTCTCCTTTCCCACCTGCAATTTACATCCCCACCTCCACCCCCACCAATGGTCCTGATATCTGAAAATTACTTTGAAATATATATAAAAGAGGTTGATGGGTGGATAGATGAATGGATATGTGACAAAGCAAGTGCAGTAAAATGTTAATGGTGGAATCCAGGTGGTGGGCATATGGGTATTCACTGTGAAATTATTTTGACTTTGCTGCATGTTTGAAATGTTTCAAAATAATGTTAGGAGGGGGACAAAAGCAGGAGGACTCTTCTAGAGACTAAAGAGGCAACAAAAAATAGCCCCAACAGGTCCCACCACTTCTATCACATCACCTCATTAC